CTCTAGACTTTTGGTTGCGTGCTTGACGTGGTGCTTCTTTGTAAAGAAATGTTTCATGGTCTGCAGTATAGCCACCCGCTGTCCCAGCACAAAACTTGGCATGCTAACGTTTGTGCTGGGACAGCGGGTGGCTATACTGCAGACACGAAGGCAGAAGCAAAAAGTCCATTTGAGCACCTCATGCGCTGCCTCCATGACATGGCACAGCAGCAGGATAATTCCAGTCCTGTCAATGCAATTCCCAAAATATTGTGGGTGTAAACGGTCTAGTAGAACGCATTCGGCCTGAAGCATGATCTGAGATGCACGGATATGTGGTGCTGCAAGCCTCACACAAATCTCTCGGTCGAAAGAATCATGTATCTAGCAAAGGGGAAGCACGCAAACGACAGAACAGTCAGCTCTGAAGTGCGGTCGTTGCAACTTTGGCGGGCCCACGCACAAGGAAGTCCAGGAAAAACTTCTGCACCATTATCTCAGCAAGACAAAACTTTCTTACGACGGGAATAGAGCCCTCCAAACTGCGGCAGGCCCCGAATGACACAACTCCATTTGAGAACCAGCAATATTCATTCACAAGCAGCCTGAAACATAGCTGCATAATATTCACGTTAACACTAAGAATGATTCTACCAAAATCCTCAGGATATGTCAGCGTGCAGTGGCGCTTACACCGACGCCTGGATTCAACCCTTGCCGTGGCGCCTTGCCCTGGCAAGCTAATGCAGAATATGCTATGTACACCCCAACGCTCATATCGTAGCTTTCACAATGTGAGCAACGTCCCCACTGGTTGACATTGACAAATCCGGAAAGCATTCCTAGACGCGACGCGCGAACGCAAGCTACTTTGGTGGCGAAGACGCATTACCGCCTTCTCATGTGCAGTTTTACAGTGCAGCATTCCTTTTGGAGTTCTCAGTAGGCATAATGGCGTGGCACTTTCTCGTTCAAGACACACGCAGATCTGTTAAGGTAGATCTGGGACAGCTGCAGCAATGCTCAGCGTGAGGTGGGTCGCACGACTCATTGCGATAATGTACCAAACCGACGCAGAGCAGACACCAACAGCCTTCTCCACTGAGACGAAGTTTCCACTGTTCGGCAACTGTATAGCTTCCTTTTTTAAAGCGACTTTCAAACGCAACTTCATTCCGGGCTCCTGTGCTACACAAACATGTAAACGGCCCACAAGATTACACTCTGTTCTGCTGCATGTGTTTGCTTGTTTCTATGTTGTGCACAGCAAGCAATTCTTGCTGTAATGCCCCCCCGTAAGGGCAGTCTTTGAGCTGTTTGGACTGTGCGTGCATGCCTCAAGACGCAGCCAGAGCCGGCACTGTCTAAACTGTCTAATTCCCGAAGGCCCCAACCATCCCTTTTAAATCTTTTGAGGGCAAACACAACAAAAATAGATGGCCAATGCCGCCTCGACCAGCCACATAGCGCTGCATGTCAATGGGCGAGTCTCACGGAGACAGCAACACGTGCATCAAAAACACGTTTCAGCAAATGCCACCAAAACTGACACAACACTAAATTTTTGTATTTGCACAGTTTGGGTTGTACGGACCCTTTTGTCTGGTTGGCGTTTTAGTTTGAGAGCAACACGCAACACGTTCAACAGCATAGTCAATGTCCGTATTGCGTTACATCCTAGAACTACACACAAAGTGCAGATCGAGCTAACCCAGAGCTAATTCTCCTCCTTTACAGCCCAAGCAGGATACATTTATCTATCGGAAACTGTCCAAAACCGCAAACACTCCTGGAGTCAGATGAAAACCAAGCAAGAGGCTCAAGAACAAATCAAGGCCTGAGTTTGCGCGAGCACGGGCATTTGTGCGTGCACCAGCAAAAAGCAGCCACCCGTTTATCGTTATTTTGCAATCGCTATTTCTGAAAGGATCTTAATTGCGTAGCGCCTAAGCTGTCACTTTCTGTTATCAGGGATAAGCTAAACTATTTCCTAAGCACACATTGCAGCAACGACAACTGCACGTGCTTTTCAAAAGCGCATTGCTGTGCATTAGAAGTGAATGGATTATATTACGCAGGAAACCAAAATTGCCACCTGCAACCAGAGCCTCGACAAAAATGATGAGCTGTCTTTCTGTGAAAACTTTTGCTGAGTCAGCATTCAACCCCACAACTTGGAAGTAAGACTGCTTGCTACCGTTTGGGGAGCCCTCGTGGATATGTGTAATGTGCGTACTGAAGGACGGGAAAAACTACCTGCTCAAAGTATGTCATACTGTGTTCCGAAACTCCTTCAAGTGCCGCGCTACGCACAATTTCTCAGCAATCGCTCCTTTATGTTTTCGCAGCATCCATAGAGTTGTCTTCATGACTGCTCTCACCAGGTCTAAAGAAGCTCAGTGCCATGGATAGGAGTGTTTTTGGTCTTCCAATAACGGGCCAAAGTGAGAAGAATTCACATCCATGCTTATTGTCTGTCCATAAATCATTTTACAGAAAGTGAAACCACAGCTTCCTCTAATGCATGGTTCTTTCCTGGACTGCAGGTGTGCATTTACCTGGATTATTACGTCCATCTCAGGTTTCCAAACATCTACCTGGCAAAGAGAGTACTCAAAATCCGTGACAGAGCAATTGCGTGGCTTTTACATTCACCCTCAGCGTCGCTGCCGTGGCCCACCGGCAGCCGTACAGCCATTAGCTTCAACGTCCATGGAAACGCACGTTTTGTGTTAGCATCCTACCCAGCGTGTGAAATTTCTTGAAAGGCTCCTTTTTCTTGCACAATTCAGGTGTATTAGCTCCATGCAATGGAGGCATTCGCCGAAACAATGATCTACCATGAATACCGCCCCTTCTGAGACCCAATTCCTGCCAACCTGCATGTCTTGTCCCCCACGCTTCACCCCGTGAGGTTGCTGCAGCATCAGAGAGTGTTGCTCTCTTGAAAAGCTAGTGGTGAAATTGTAGGCATTTTGATCCAGCAGCTCGCATTCGATTAGTCAATTCGGAATTATAAACAACAGGTGTTGCATACTTCAATGTGCTTCACTACCCACAAACCGTTTTCACCGTGCACCGCAGGTCAGCGACATGCAAAAAGTGAGCGGCTTAAACTAGAGCCACGCTGAGCACTACTGTACCAGCAGCGCTGGGCACCTCTTTTTGAGGGCGGTCTGAAGTGTGGAGTCTTACGGAGCAGGATTCTCCTTCCTCTCCTAGATTCCGAGGTATGGTCCCATCCTTGATTGTTTCCGTGTGAGGGCTTATTGCTAGAAAGCAAGATACGATGGCAGCGGCAACAGCCAACGTGGCTGCCACGACGGAAGGTAGCAGCATCGACGATACATTGCGTCTGTACTTGCGGGGCGCGATTAACAAGGCTGCAGAGCCGGATTTTTGTTCATTTTTCCAATATCCTCCTCTTTGCTGGAATACTAACGAGGCGTTCGCTTCTTGGGGCGGAGTGGCTCCAGCAAAAATTGCCGCAAGTACTGCAAAGACAATGACGGACACTCGGAAGTTGTCCATCTTAACGAGAAGAAGTCCTTGATTTGTAAACTAGAATCAGTGATTGGGTTAAAATTTCAATGTAGTGCCTTAATGTGGGCCAAGACAGCTGTTTCAGGTAGCATATGTTGCGTGCTAGTGGCTCGGTGGGGTCTCGCCACATAAAGCTAGCCATCATTTTGTATTCATCCATCCTAGCAAGTAGGTTTAAAGAAAGCAACAATACAGGATTCGCTCAAAGTTAAGGAGCAGAATTTTTCTGATGCAAATGTGGATTTCATATTTCACGCCTACGTTCCCTTTGGAGTTGCAATTTTGTACAGGAAGGCCTTCACGGGCTCGAGCGCGATACCTCGGGCTGCCCTGCGCCCGGTTCCACTAAGAATGACAGCTATATACTGACTTAAATTGTGCATATGAAATTTTATAGAATTTATGTGGATCTATGGAAGTAAGTATGCTGGGATTTCCGTCATTTTGGAATACTGCGATCTTGCAGTGGCGCAGTTTGCGTTGTTTTGAAGTCACAGGGTGTGACGTTCAAAGACTGATGATAATAAGCGTATTATGCTGTTTTTAATCCTTGCTAAAGACCACTCAAATTAGTGATGCGCACAACTTTCGGCGTACAGTGGTAATCCTGTCGTGCAAGCTACCTCATGCAGCCTCAGTGCACTCACCTGTGGCCAAGTCCCTAAACCATCCTTCCAAGCCACGCGATTTTGAACAGGGTTCCTCATGGCTTTTTTGTGCAGAAAATGTTGAATGTTTCATCTGCACATTTAATTTGAGTTGTACTGCGTGGCAGTGGAGCTGTTTACGTCCCATTGTGCGGCTGTGGGCCGTAAGCTGTTCCTTCAGTGCAGTGTGCACGGCAGCACGCTTGAGCCGTGAGACCACGAAATCCTAAAATGTCTCCAGTTTTACCACTGACCCGAACTGTAGCTTTTTAGGTTGAGCCCCCAACTATTCTTTTAATTGGTACTTCGCTCGCCTACCCTTACGGCAGCAGCTCCGGTGAACGAAGTACCCACTGTGCAGACCGACGGGTACCATCTCGGATGCTGCGTCTACAATTTGGTGAGGGAGAAACTTTCGAGTTCTGTGCCCATCAAATTGTGGAAGCAGATTTGCTGCTTGCGCGTAGAGCAGGCACAATCCCTCGCCACTATGCGTGCTCCGCCATCGCCACGGCTCCTCAGGTCGTCTATCAGCAACGAATTTGCGCCTGTCTAAATTTGTGCAGCAATTGTCCCCTAATTACTATTTTTCGCATATGTCCCCAAGTCATTCACTCCTTGCTCCCATTCGATCACAACAACATATTTACGTCACTACGAATATGAAAAGCTGGGTTAAACCTCCGAGCTCCACTGCCTGGTTCTACAATAGACAAAAATGTGGCACTCGATCCTTTCTACGAGCCGTTCCACCCACTCGCGAGTAGCGGCATAAGTGAGAGCCCTGGAGACCGTAAAATACCGTAGCATCAACTTATTTATTCCGTCAAGTCAAGACGCATTCTCAGCATGTTCTCCTGACTTAGGCGCCTTTTGATGTAGTGCCTTAGGCAGTCTCTGCAATTCCTCGGGGTACTTCAGCGCCATTGCGCGCAGCAAACTCTGTGTGAACAGCTCTAATGATTGTGAAGCTTCTTGCTCACTGCCGGTAAAAACATCTTTTTCTTGGCTCCGCAGGCATTCCCCTATCGTCGGCATCGGTGCCCGCACATTTTTCGGGTTAACTTGGTGCCCAAGTGCACAACTCAAAAAGCGTGAAACTGATAAACCCGGAAACACTGTGTATTTCGCTTCCATTTGACTGGTTGTAAAGGTTCCATTGGCTGTGCTCTCCGCCGTCAAACACGTCCTTCTTGCCCGCAAACTTATGCCTATGGAAGGGAGCAGATCCAGCTGCACAAACAGCCGTAGAAGGATGAGGACCTCTAGTGTTCCAAACGCTCTGTGATGCTGCACGAAGTGGCTTGCAAGGGTCTGTAAAATTGACACCAGCTCATGAAGCCGAAAGAGTCGTTGGCGAAGCAGTAACGGCTTCCTCAGCTCTGTAGACGCTTCTTCATGCAGCCGATTACAGGTTGCTGCCTTCATCTCAAGAAGTAAAAGAAGCCGGAGTCCCTCAGCGACCTGGGCCATGCTTGACGGTTGGGCTGCTGCAAGATTTACAAGGAGTGCAGCGAGCACGTGCCTTCCAAGCAACCGCTGAAGTCTTAAAGAAGGGTCACTCCCCTGGAAAGAAGAGAATGACGCCTTGAGAATCTTTGCGGATGCCCACAGCACAGTACACCAGTTCCCATAAAATGCGCTTATACCTGAGGTTGAAGGTAGAGCCTGGTAGCTGTGCGCGCGGGAAGTCGGCCATATACTGCCGTTCTCGTTGCGGCGAGGACCAGTTCCGCCAGCAACAGCTTGAATTTCATATGGTTCATGGTTGGGATGTATTGATTGCAGTTCGCTGTTAAAACGAAATGAGTCATCGTGAGCACTGGCATCCCTGCTGTTGTGGACAAAAAACGTAGAGCTAATTGCGTCAAATAAGAACTGAATCCCTCGTGTGCTTAATCTGGTCCCCGCACTGCCAAGGGAACGGCACACACAGGCAAGGGTACTTGGACTCATTCTACAAATGGCAGCGCTGCTCAAGCGCGGCAAAATGCTGCCAAGAGAGTCCCGGGAAGCTTCTTCACCTGTCGTGTGCAAAGGCACCGTTTGCAAGCAAAGTAGCTGGAGATTAGGGCGTTGACAGGTACTGCGCTGGAGGTGGCTCAGCAGCTGCAACAACAGCTTCTCACGTGTTGAGCACGTCTGAGCCACCCTGGCAGATGCAATCATCGCAGCTCCTAGCAGGCCGTCTGTCCATCCTTGTTCGTTCTGCGGGGTCTCCTCAGCCCCTGCGTCTCGCTGTTGGCGAGCAGCCGCTTCGGAAAGCAGGAGCGTTGCAACTCGAGGGGCAAGTGACTGCTGAACGCATCGCCATAAGGCCGCCATTGCCAGTGCTACTGCTGCATCAAAGTTAGCGGCAGCAGCTACAGACGACTTGACAACCGGGCTTGTGAAGGATAGCTGGCATTCTCTAAGGGCTCTTCCTGGAAGATGTCCCTCAGCAGATGACGCCAAAGATTCACCAGATAAAATAACATGCTCAGGCAGAGAAATGTTTTGTGTTTGATTCATGCCAGAAGTTAATCTCACCAACTGAGGACCAGCAGCTGACGAGAGCCCAATACTGACGGCACCAGCAAAAGTCTCTGGGGTTTGCACTGTAGTCTCGCTCTGGAACCTTTGTGTAGCCAGCAATGCGCACGCTTCGGCAGTTCGCACACAAGTCCGCACACTGAGGCTCTTTCTCAGGTTTGCATTATGCAGCAAGGCTTTCAGCAACCGAACTGCAACAAGCAGACACAATTTCTGCATTGCCCTCTGCTCGTACACCGCAGCATCTAGCAGCAGCCTTTCTGGTGGAAAATGTAAAGAGGCACGAGATGGTGCAGGGCTAAAAGTTATTGAGGACACACACTTCTCAGCTGCTGGTGATCGAAAAAATGAAGACCGCCGCCTCACAACGAGTCTTTGGCGGAACCCTCTCTGTTCCTCTGTGGTGCTGGCTGGCTGGGCAATATCTGCTTGTTCCAATGGAATGGTAATATCTGCAGAACAGGTAGGTCGTGAATGTTGCTGCAGCAGAAGGGCTGACAATTTAACGCCCAGTGCTGCTTCGTGTGCGTACAGAGGTGTCCGCTGCACTAGCAGTTGCTCCAGCACAGCGGCCCCCAAAGATGGTGGGCAACAGCGACGCTGTGCAAGGTTGCAGCAAGTGAGCAAAAGCTGGCGAGTAGGGACATCATTGACTAAAGGGTGGATCCGATCAGAAGCAGCTCGCAGTGCTGCGGCCAAGGTGGGCGTCAGCTTTCGGAACTTTTGCAAAGTCTCTGCTTGTTCAGAAGCATACGAGCTTCCAGTTGTGCAGCCTTTCACGCTTGGCCTGGCAGATGGTCTCTTCAGACGTTGCAGTCGACGAGACGCTCCAAGAAGTCTGCAGCGCAGCTCATCCAGGCATTTTACTTGCCAAAACCCTGTCTTGATGTCGGTCAACGCTGACAGAGCATGCGGTCGCTTCCTCCTGCGGCTTTTTACAGCGGCCTGATCTGCACTGATCGAGCTCCGAAACTGTGGAATAACCTCTAGCGCCTGGGCTCGCAGCCAGGTGCCGCTGTAGCAAAGCGGAGCAGAAAAGGCGGTAGAAGAACTGCAGACCGAAGCGGCTAAAGCCTCTGCCGTCGATTTCTCAGTAGGCGATTTCTTCTTGTCTGATGGTGCCAATCCCTGAATTGTCTTGCAGCTTGCATGGATTGAAGGGCAGCAAGCGAAGCCCTCTCGTCTCCAGGGGATTGGCTGAAGACGCGAAAAATAGCTGTTCATTCGGAAGCTGACGGATGAGAAACAGCACGAGCTGTAAAATGATTTTGACCCAGAATTAAGAATACCTAGAAGAAGACACAACGGAGATCTGTGGATTATTTCCTGTCCTCCAGGTGTGAAGAGACTCCGTGATAACATGGACGTCCCTGCTGCTGAAGACTGCGAAAATGGACGGACAGGTTCACAACGTTTCTTATGTATCTTAATTTTAAAAACACCGATTATCATGGTGAGAAAAGAATACGCATCCCTATTCCTGTGCTCACAACGCGTTTGCCCTTCTGCGTTGACCATGGGGGGCCCCTGTACAACTGGGCCAATAGCGGATATGCTATCTCTAAAGCTTGCAGGCGAAGCTTTAGTATTTAGCAACAGCGATTATCCCATTGTGTACTTAGGTATGTGTTCGTATAAATGATCTTCCGGTCGTGGGAATCGCCTGCTTTGCTTCTCCGGTGCCATGAAGAGACCTGACGCCGCAGCCTTTGAGAAGGTCGGTCCTTGCTCTCAGCCTGCTGCAAAAGGGTTCCCAAACGCAAACACAGTGAAGGTTAACAGAAGTAGAGATGCTGCCGCTGCGGGCCTCCCTCCAGAATTAGTCGACGACTTGCTTCGGCAGCACTGCCACGGTATGTGGGGCGACAGCGATGACGACCAGCAAGATGAGAAGAAATCCAGTCAGACCAGTTCCTTGAAATGCGCCATAAAGGAGCAATCAAGCGGGGGAGGACCCGGTGGGAAGACGCTTCACAGGCCGCTTGCCCAGGCATCTCCCACTTGCGGAGTCACTGACGAAGGTCCGACGCAAAAGAAGCAAAAAGTACGAGCTAGTGAGGCGCTCTCCTCAGCTCAGGAGACAGGTTACCTTCAATTAAAGTCTTCCGATACCCCGACGCAAAGGCATTCAATGGCCGTACATGCGAATGTAGCACCAGCTCATGTGCTCCCTCCCACGCCCTGGCAGAACTCGGAAAAGCGACGAAGCCACCAAAGGGAGTCGAAAGCTAAACGGCAAGCCAAAGATCTTAGGAAATGGAGCAATATGCGCGCATGTGCACTGCGTCCCATTCTCAAGTCAGCACCTGCGGGTGGTCAGTGCCCAACAAAGATTAGCTGCGCGACAGCAGAAAATGGCGAAGTGTCGAGGTCCCTTATGACACATAATGGTTTGAGAGACCTCTCATTTGTCGCGGATCCAGAAGATGCCAACTTCGTGCCGCTCGCTGCGCAAGCAGAGAAGCACGACGATAAGCATAGGAAAGACCAGGCGGAGCCTGCCAAAGATGCGAAAAAGGAGTTCGATGAAACGGTTCAAGACATCCGCAACATGGGTGGGGTTCTGTATATCGATCTTTCCAAGGCTGGGGTTTGAAAGTGTTGTGTTCCTTCTTTCCGCATTTTTTTTCCAGTCGTTTTGTTGCCTTGTGCTTTTTGAAGGGTTTGTAGAGGGCTGTTGTAGCGATTTATGCCCTGTCATCTAGCTCTGGACTGCCTTGCACGATGCTTGCTGCGTTGCTCCTTAGTTTACCCCTACTTGGGTCGTTTCCAACGTCGCCAGTTTTTAACCACAGCCCTTAGGGCGCTTGGCTTTGGTGAGTGGTCGTTTGAAGCCTGTGCAAGCACACTGCATTCAAGCGTCAAGCTGTCCTGTATTCGAGATTGTCTGATGAACACGCATCTGATAATACGTTAAGGGTCTCCACAAAAGCGGAGTTGGGATTTGCGCATAGTTTATTGCAAAGTCTATTGGGTAATGCCCAGCTGTAGTTGGTTTAGTTGTGTCATTGCAGTCGGTCTCAGTGCTTTATCTGTGGCATTCGTTGGTCTCCTGTCTGTTGCACTCAGCTGCTACAAAAACCCAAAAGATGCCTCTTCCAGAGCTGTTAGCTCGCAAAAAGGCGACAGCTGCCGTTATAGAAGCCCGGCAGGCTGAGGAGAAAGCGCTTGGTGTTAGGAGTCATATTGACACCCAAGGCTCAATACAGCACGCTTCACGTAACCGCTCAAAACTTATGGCAATGAAGGCGCGAAGAAAACACCTGCGAGATACTTTTAAGCATGCCGGGAAACTAGGAAGCAGTGCATCATCGGGCGGAAAAACGTAAGCGATGAAATGATGTGACACTGATTCTGAACTCAGCCATTGTGGAGAGGAAAGCGAGTGCCTCCCAAACTGAAAGTCTGGTAAACTTTTTGTCTCGTACATTTTTATTGCTTAGACGGAACTTGTAGATTCTCGTTTAGCTTTAGTTCCGTGCACCATAAAGCTTTCGTCGTGTGAACGTTTCTTTCATTTGATTTTTTTTCCTTTCGTACGACGCTCCGAGAGCCTTGTCAATGTTCTCGTGCTTGGGAGTCCACGTTTTCGCTTTTTACTGACGCTTTGACTTATGGGCAGCAAAGGTAGCATCATTTAAGGGATCCGGTGTAAATTTTCCCGACACTACATCGTCCTGCAATCATGAACGTCTAGTGGCAGTTTGGAACTATCTATGCTGTCCTATGTAGTGATTGAGGCCTAGTATTGTGGTGCTGCCTGAAGACTCTAACTACGGAGCTCTAGAAAACAATAGATGCAACACAAATAAGACGCACGAGGCCTTAGAACGGGCATCTTAGGAGAATTTGTCAGCTATGGCTTTTGCAAAGGCTGTCCTAATGAGGAAGAGCAGTGGGAGGAATGCGCCATCAGATGTACTGACAGTGCAGAGAGGATGTCAACACCGCAAACGCGAGCACCAATCCCAGCGTAGCCCTCATTTGAAAGCATAACAAGTTTCTTCGATGCAGCTGTTTGACAGTATTGATGCACAAAACGGAGGACCTGGCCGCTATCGCAGAGTGGGTGTCTGCAATGCCTACGGCGGGCTACCCACTTTTCCTGGCCCTTTTCCAATGAAGAAGCCAGCAATGAACCTCTAGCTTTAGCGCATCTGAGGCCCGTTTGGCAGGCATAGGTGCGCGCTCGCTTTCGTCCAGGTCTCTGGCCCTACAGCTTATATTATGCTTCGGCAGTGCAGCATGGGTGCAACGACCTATTTTGGACAAAATTGTAGTTCACGACCTTTCCTGTGAAACTAGAGCCTTACTAACCGGGTAGGGAACTTGCCGTCTTGTAGTCCAAAGGCTTAAGGGAATACATACTCAGTAGTGACTTGCTCTGTGTCACGCAGCTCCTTTTGTGCAATGATAACGTTTAATCTTGCTCCTTAGGCTTTCGCTCCAAACTATTAAAAAGAGCGAGCCATACTGCAAGAAGCCCAAAAATGCCTTGCCGACGGAAATACGTTCGATGCAAGGTACAAAGCCGATGGGGACTTTCACTGCTGGCCCTTTTCTATTAACAACTGTAGCGCAGGTACTTCTAGAGGACCAGAGGTAATCATGTTACTGGCGAGAAGTGCGTCAAGGCTTACTAATTGGAAAATTAATTCTCTATTTCTCCTTAGAAGACGCACGATCTATATGGCCAACATCAAAGAGCTTCAGCACACTGAATACATCACGTGTGTATGCAACTTCAGTTTATGCAACTGAGGCAATGCGCTTCTCACGGTCTGTAGATGGATTGTTCGGGTGAACGACGCAGTTAAACCTTGTGAACCGTGACAGTTTAAAGCTGTAAAAAGCGTGTGACTACACCGCCCTGGCGTCCAGTTCATTTGAATAAAAGTGGAAATTCTTATGGAGAATTTGTGGATGCTTGCATTTTGATGAGATATGGTTAAGCGTAAATGCGACAACCTTTATTCAGCAATCAGTTTTCAAATACCTTTCTAAGGCGCACCAGCTGCATTTGTAGCTCTTCTGCGTTGGTGCTAGACAATGTCTTCACCAGCGAAACTCTAGGGAAAGAATAAAGCAGCCATATACTTTTGTCTTATAGTCATTTCAATATGATGACTGACGAGCTGCAAGAAGAAGGCATAAGTTCACGCAGTCACGGCAAGTCTGACAGCTAACAACTGTGTTTTGTACATAAGGGATTGAGAGACTGATTCAGTAAATGTAATTAATGTTTACTTTGCACGTCAATGCCATTCAACACGCTACACACTTATTCAAGTTTCATAACTAACCTGCCCTGCGCACGAACTGGAATTGTTAGGATAAGAACGGCACCATTCGTCTGTATGACATAGACCCTGAAAAATATTTTTAGGAGCAGCATTGACGACATGGCGTCGAAGTGTTGATACCAACAAGCGGTTTCCTAGTTCTCTACACTTTGTTGGCTGCTGAAGAGGCAGGGATGAGCTATTTCAGATTAACTCACCACCTTTCACATGCAGTGTCTAGCGCCTTGCTAAATTACCAAACGCGCGTGTGTCATATACAGAAGTGTATCTTGCTCCGAGCAGTCAAACACCAGAAAAATCAGGCCTTGAATGAGGAACAGTGCATAACAGTTCAGTAGTATTGATGTAGGAAGACTTCGCACACTTGGGGTGTTTCAGTTTGCAGTACAACTCGCGAAGGTGTCGTGGGCCTGCATGCAATGTCCTTATCAAAACTGTGATTGGCTAAACTTCACGAGCAGCAAAAGAAACTTGGAGCTGTAGAATATCCTGGAACACATTCCATGGCTCCTTATTCACTGTATCCTTTGTGCAACTATTCTACCTTCTTTTTATGATTGTGCTGATTGTCTGTGCTTGCCCGTCCTTCATTGCGTCCATCATAGGTTTGAGCGAAAAACATGGGCCTGTTGAGGCTAGAATGTAACACGTGACTTCAGTTGGCTTTAAGGGAGCACTGGAAGTGTGCTCTTGATGCAAATCATTCGCGGACAGCTAGCCCGCAGTTTTAAATGGGCGAACGTCCCTCGCCGCACATGTCATGTCGAGTGCAATTCGGTAAACTGCAATATGGCATCAGATCCTGGAAAAAACACGTATTAGAATTAAGGTTTTCAGGAGTCATTTGAATTCGCGGGCCTCCAGAAAAGCATGCGCAGTCTCACTAGGAAAAGTGCAGCAAGCCGGACAAGACAAAGCAAGAATGAAGCTTAGCTGGAAAATATTTCGTAACGCAGGTCTTCTCTTCACGGCCCCTCAATGCTTTATTGAGTCCTAGGCGTATGGCAATAAAAATGCACTTGTCTCTATGGCCTAGAAGGCCTCAATAAGCTTTTTCCACATCCACAAGTTTATTCAGAATGGATCGCTGAAGCGCGAATTCGCGGAGCAATAGCTATGGCTTGCATAATTCAAAAGGTGTTTGCAAGTGTGATTGTTAGCAAGCCAGGCTTACATGACAAACTGAGTGTGACCTGAGTTGGTCACGGCAGGAAAAACACCTTCCGGCTCATCGCGCAAAATACGCCATACTATCCTCTGTGTGAGCATTGTTGAGTTTTAACTTCATTCTTGCGAAGTACCTCACAAGCGATCCGAGAGATTGTTGAATATCTATAACTGTGGAGACTTGTCTGGAGTAGCTGAACCAGAGCGCAAGACCACTGACTGTACCACTCACGTATCAACAATTAAGGTCATTCTTGAAATATATGTATCGCGCTTTATCCAAACTTCCACAACTCTCTTCAGAACGTCTTTCCCTTTCTTTTACTGTAGAGCAGGCCAACATTGTTTACTAACGTTTGGAACAAACATGCCGTCAATGATGCAAACCAGATAAGCAGTTACGGAATATTCAAAACGGGCGTTATTGTGGAGAAACCGAAAGAAAACTGCTCCAGTGAGCCCAGGAGAACGGCCTAGCAAACAAACGAGCTTCGTGCTATCACTATTGTCATTTTCAATACCATCTTGCTGAGACCTCATCGAAAAATGTCTTTCAGCATCTCAAAGCAGCCGACATGATGTAAAGCCAAACAGCAGCTTGGCTTTACATCATGTCCCTGAAGGCGGGGCACCTGAGGCTTCAACTAGATTTTTTTTGCATGCGCTTTGTCACCAACGCATTGAATGTGATTATTCTGCAGTCGAGGTATCCTAAAAAGACGCTCGTGAGGATCCGCGATAGCAGCCACGGTCAATACGTCGCCTTTTAGGTTATGGCTGTGTGCAAGACGACAGCAGTGAGGTCAGTGCCTTGAAGGAACAGTCCTAGGGATGAAGCCCGACCCGAGTACATTTCAGCCACTGCCAGCATTCGCTGCCTGCTAAGAGCCCTAAGAAAGGATAGAAACCCCTGTGACCATGCTTTAAGGGAGCCTCAGCAGCGCGCCAGCAACGGCACACGCAGGACTAGAGTGCATGAACACAGTGTTGAAAACGTCAAGGTCTTCTTTTGACGGCTAGGTCAAGTTAGGGGAGCTAAAGAGCCACGATGCATATCAGCGGCTTGACAGTCAAGACACTACTACGGCGCTTTCCCATTGGTTGTTTTCGTGTACTAAAGTTTCCTATTCCCTTGAACGTTTAGCGCCTAGTTGTGCTTTCTATCCAGCGAGTAGCAAAATGCCATCAATAACAGCCCGCCCAACATGAGCACAGCCGGATCCCTTGTTTACGCGTTGCTGCATTAGAAAATCAAAATTCCTACAACCTAGAATTCATAATGCTGCTGCTGATGCTGTTGACTCACTTTGCTGGTGCTTTTGTTTCTGATGCTGCTTCTCTTCTGTCCGCTTCAGTAACCAATTCAGAATCCAAGCATTATATTGTTTAACTTTACATATGGCTTCCGCTAAAATAATGCTTTTGCCCCTGTGGCCCCTGTGAGCTTCAGCGAAACATAACGGGCAATTACAGGAATTTAATGGAGGGCGCTGCATTGGCGATTGTTGCCACTGCTACTGTCTCCACCTTTCCTGTTGCTACTGCTGCTTACCTCTCCTTCGAAACAGAAATTCAACGGTGCTGCTTTTGTCTCAGTTAATTCCTTTTCCTTTCTTGGAGAAACAAGCGAGCTGCCGTGGTTTAGTCTCTCGCGTGTCACCCAGCATTTTGTCCGTTTTCTCGAAATGATTGTTTCGGTATCACTTTTTGCAGCAAAAATTAAAATAAAATGTGGACGAATGGGCGTCTATCACGGTATTTTACGTGGACTAACTGCTTTGAAGGCTACTTAGCACCACCATATCAAACGCCAGCAGATACGAAAGGAAAAGAGTTGCGCTTCTGAAACAAGAATAGGC